TATCTCCTCACACAGAAACAAGCTCTGAGAATTGCACTTGGAATTAGAAAATGGAAAGGAAATTAGAACGTATTGATCTGAGGCATGATTTATGGAGAATCATTCCTAATTATCTGTAGATGAGTAGACTGAGACTTGTAGAAACTATTTACTTCCCTGGCTCGCTCTGAATTTCAAAAACTACACCAAGGTGCTTGCCACCTGTAGTGCAGCTTCTAATCTGCTAAGTGGTTTGTTTTGAATCCCTTGGATTACACAGCTTCAGAAGATTTTCTGCCAGAGCTAATTTTGTGTGTGGGTGCTCATGAACAAAAGCATTGATTTTTTGGGGTTATTTCTACTAGAGACCCACTTATTGACATAAAGATCTACTGCTTTATTCATTTCATAGTATAACAGAGTATCTGGGTTATTAAATTCATTATTATTATTATAGGTAGGTGCTAAAAAATGGTGTAATTATTAAAGATATTAGTTAATATAAATAAATTCTTTGATTTGTACTTCGAACACTATATTAATGAATAACAAACAAAAAACAAACTCACTGCCAACGACTGGATTCCGACTCATAGCAACCTCTCCTTAGGTTTCCCAGGTGGTATCACTACAGAAGTAAATCACCCAATCTTCTTTCCAAGGAGTGGCTGGTGGGTCAAAAATCTTTATTAATTTTAATATTAGTATCTTTATTAATTTTTTATGACCTACCTATTTCTATCACTCTGTGGACAATCCTGGGCTGCTTTTAGAAATCTTTTTAGTGTGTTGAATTGATATTTATTTGTGAGCCACAGGCTATTTGAATTTGAAAAAAAATAATAATTTGTGAATAGTTTAATTTTATTGACTGTGGAAGAAATAGGGAGCTCTGATAGTGTAGTGCCTAAGTCACTTGACTGCTAACCAGAAGGCAGGGGGTTCAAACCCACCAGCCACTCCTAGGAAGGAAGGTTGGGCAATCTACTTCCATAGTGATATTGCCTCAAAAACCCAAGGAGAGGTTGCTATAAGTCGGGTCCGACTCAATGGCACATAACAACAACAATAACATGGAAGAAATACAGAAGTCCTGCTGTACAACAAGCAAGCTGTGCTAGCACACAGCTCCTAATCCAAAGGTTGATGGTTTTCTCTGTGGGAGACAGAAGTAACAGTCTGCTTCCATAAAGATTATAGCCTTCGAAACTCTATGGGGCAGATCTACTCTGTCCTATAGGGTCACTACGAGTTGGAATAGACTCAGTGGCAATGGGTTTTAGAAAAGAAATGGACGTTATGCTAGATTTATTTGTGGTGTCTAGAACAAAATAGGAGCTCTAGTAGCCTAGTGCCTAAGGCATTTGACTGCTAGCTAGAAGGCTGGTAGTTCCAAACCACCAGCCACTCCTCAGAAGGAAGGTTGGGCACTCTGCTTCCATAGTGATACAGCCTCGGAAACCCAAGGAGGGGTCACTATGAGTCGGATCCAACACCATGGCTGTTGTTGTTGTTATGTGCCATCCAGTCGGCCCCAACTCATAGCGACCCCTCCTTGTGTTTCTGAGGCAGTATCACTCCGGAAGTAGATTGCCCAATCTTCTTCCGAGGAGTGGTTGGTGGGTTTGAACCGCCAGCCTTCTGGTTAGCAGTCAAGTGCCTTAGGCACTCTGCTACCAGAGGTCCTGACTCCATGGCAGTGAGTTTGTTTTTGGTTTACCCTGGAATGATGTCATGAACATAACAAAAGAAAGTATTTCCAATCAGGGTTACATTCACAGGCACAGAGGTAGAACTTCAACATCTCTTTTTTTTTTTAGGGCACAATTCAATCCATAACAGGGTCCATCTCTGTATTTCTGGTACCAAATACAATTCTTAAATTACAAAAGGGCTGAAATTTGTTCCTGGGTGGTACAAATAGTTAGCATGCTTGGCTGTTAATTGAAAGGCTGGAGGTTTGAGTCTACTCAACCATGCATTGGAAGAAAAACCTGGTGATCTACTGGAAAATCAACCATTTGAAATCCTCTGGAGCACAGTTCTACTCTGACACATGTGAAGTTGCCATGAGTCAGACTTGAATTGACTAACACCAGTTTTTTGGTTGCTTCACTCCTAGAGTAGTGGCTGGCATGTGGATAAGCACTCAATATATACTTATTGGATGAATATATGGTGAAAGGTTCTCAACAAATCTTTGCTGAGTTAATTCCTTAATTTGTGTTTGTGCAATGGGTTTCTCAGGCAACAATCTCATTGTTTTACAATCCAGATTCAGTGACTGCATGAGGGGCACATGTGCCTGGATTGGTTTTCTAGGATGCTTCTCACATCAAAAAAAATAAAGGTAAAAAATCCAATCAAATTATCATTTGATAATAAATAATGAGTAGTGGAGGGGCTATTAGATAAAACTGATTCTTTCTAAGTAATTTCAGTATACTGATTTGTGCCTGTAGACAGAATATTTTTCCTTGTGCATGTGGGAAATGTGGCTAAAATAATTCATAAATTCTTATAGAAACACTGATTTCTCAAGTTACAAAGTGAAGAAGAATTAAATACGTAGTAGATATGTAGTTTTCATATCTTTCAACTTTTCCATTTAGGGTGATGTCCAATTTTGGGTCTAATAGTAGTTTGCTATGGGGCAGTGGTAGAATTCTTGCCTTCTAAGTAGGAGGTCCAGGTTTGATTTCCAGTCAGTGCACCTCATGTGCAGCTGCTGTCTTTCAGAGGAGGCTTGTATGTTGCTATGATGCTGTAAAGGTTCCAGACTAAGAAAGACTAGAAGAAAGGCCTGGTGATTTACTTCTGAAAATCAGCCAATGAAAACCCTATGGATCACAACAGTTTGATCCACAGCTAATCATGGGGATGGCATAGGATCAGGCAGCATTTTGTTTTGTTGTGCATGAGTCAGGAGCCAATTCAATGGTAGCTAACAACAACAACAACAACAACAAGCAGTTTATTAACAGGCCACAAATCATCTTAGGAAGCTCAGAAATCCAATGTCCTCTGATTACTTGTTTTCTTATTCCAATAATGGATGAACAGTCAGGTTTTTATCTGTCTACAAACCTGATAATTGATAAAGTAATTAAGAATACAATCATGATTATTCCAAGAATAAATGAGCCATGTATAGTGAACCATCATGGAAAGAAAACAATAAAACAAAATGAACAATCAAACGAAAACATATCTGTTCTACCTGAAACATGTCTCATTGGATCACACCCTGGTCAAAGATGGAACTAGATACATGTGGATGTTGGGAAGTCCACAGAGAGGGGTATATGGTAAGAGGCAGACATTGGAGTGACGTTGGAGCTGCTAACTCTCCAAAACATGACTGAAGGAAGTTTATCTGGCATTAATGGCCCTCTAGAGCGGACATTTTTCATCCCACCAAATAAGCAAGTAGAGAGTCAATGAAAAAGAGGAAGACCCTCTTAGTGGGTGCAACAATAAGTGACATGAGCAACAATGAGCAACATTTCCTTCTGTTATACAGGAGGTTATTCTGGAACTGACTCAAGGCACCTAACAACAAAAATATACAGGCAAGTGGCTTTTGGCTTGATTCCAAAGGAATATTCAGTTAGTTTCTTCTAAATTACTTGTCTCCATTAGTTTTTGACACACTGTACCTATTTCCCCCTCTAATTCTTAAATTCTTGATTTACTGTTTACTTTCTATTGCCTTTCATCTTCTTACTCTTTCTCTGCCTTTTTTAGGGTCCTTAGTCTCCTGTTTAAATGAGTGTTGCTCTTGATCCATCAGCACCCTTTTTCTAATCAAGTGCCTAGGCCCCTTGTGGAAGCATGGTCATGTCTTGAGTTTGTAAAATTAAATTAGAAGCAGTGTCAAGTTGGCATCCCAAAGGAAAATGAAAGTTATCGCTGGAATCATGCAACCAGGCTGTAGACTATATTGACTTACTTATTTTTATTATATTGAGTTTTGGTGTCAGAGGAACTTGAGGTCTGTAGAGATGATCATGTACATATGTTTAGAATATTTTTAAGCTTAATTGATAAAATGCCATCAGATAAAGACTTCACAAGAATTATCTCTAAAAATTTCACATTGATGGGAGACACTGTACTTTTACTTCATAAACTTGTCACGATTAGAAATACATAAGCATAGCCCAGCATGTGTATCCCCAGCATTTAGAGCAAGGTCTGGCACATAGCAGATGCTCAAAAATATTTGTTGAATAAGTGAATGGCACCATGTTTCTGTAATTTACTCACAGTTTGACTAGAAGACAGCATTTGTCTGAGAGGATATTCAGTCTTGGTTCTGCCTCTTATGAGCCATGTTGCTTAACCTCTCTGAGCCTGATTTTTCATGTCTAATAGAATTTTTGTGGAGGTGGAACAGTAAACTGTTTGGATGGACATTTAATGGATGGATGTCCATCTGTCCTCTTCTCATCCTAATGCTGTTTTTTTTTTTGTTGTTGTTGTTGTTGCTTTGTTTTTCTTAATCATCTCCTACCTTCTGCCTTCCAGTCACTACTTTCCTAATCATGATTCTTTTGTGTGTGTGTGTTTGTGTGTGTGAGTCAAAGTGTGGAAGGAATTAACATTTTTTGCAATTACTATTCTTTTTTGGGCAATCCTACTTCCGTAGTGATACTGCCTCGGAAACCCAAGGAGGGGTCGCTATGAGTCCGGTTTGACTTGACGGCACATAACAACAACAACAACAATTCTTTTTCATTATAAAAGCACAATGATAAAACTCATGAATCTGACAGTAGTGTTGTCACATAGCTGCTGTAGCTGAACTGCTGAGAAAGGACAAAAGAACAAAAGCTCTTTCTAGAGCACTGCCAATATCTGCCCACGTGCGAGTGTGTGTAGGGGGGAGGGGGCGGCAGCCAACACAGGTAAGATCTATATGAGATCTGTGGATGGGCTGGGCCTCAGAAGGGAAGTCACCAACCAGTCATATATAGCTCCTCCCCAAATTCCTTCTAAGACAAAACAGAAGACAAGGAATAGTTAAAACAGGACGTAAAGTTTATATACAAGAATATAATGTTTATCTGAAATATTTACAGGGTTGGTTAAAGCAATATTTTTACAACTTTTGAAGGTAAACTACTATGTATATTACAGGAAAGCTACAATGGTTTAATTTGCAAAATTAAGTAAAAAATGTTTTTTTAAAATGCTTAAAGTACTCAGGTCAATTATAAAATTTATCTGTTCTGTCCTTTAATTCAAAGAAACCATGCTATGATTAATAGTTAATGTGTTTTTTAAAATCAGTGGAAGTATTGTAGCTGGAAATGTAATACATACCAACAGTTTCCAACTAGGATGTAACATGACAAATGAATTGTTACAAGACTTACACACTGGAGCTGAGAGAGATGTTGAGATAACAGCCAGCTTTATCTCAACAGTGTTTATGACCCACAACTATTTAGGCCACATTGACACATGACATGGTTTGCATGTTATGGCAACCTCAATGAAAGTGAAAACCAGCTGATCCAAACAGGAAAGAAAAAAAAATCAGACCCAAGTCACAGTTGCATCTATTCAATACTAGCTTTAAAGTGAGCTATTTTAATACTTCATAAAAATATTCATGGTTTTATTAGTTTGAATATGTCTACAAGATTTGGGTGAGTTTTTCCTTTAGGTGAAAACAGCTATCCATTCCTGGGGTCTTATAACTCAGGAGATGCTGGGGGTGCAAACGTGCAAAAGGCAGGGGAGAAACTCCAGGCTGGGGCTGGAGCCCAGGGACTGTGCTTGGGAATAAGAGCTGAGTCCCGGAGCGAAAATGGTCAGCCGAGCTCTGAAGCCGGCCTGCCAGGAAGAACCTGGGCGCCGGAACTAGCACTGCAGCTTGCGGATGCTGCGGGAGATGCGCTTAAACTCTCTCTGCCCCTTCTGCCACCGCTTCACTGAGGTTATCACCAGCTCGCCGCCCTGCTTCTGTCCCATGACCAGATAGGGTGCGTTGATGTCGTTCATCTCCTCGCAGGTGCACTGCAAGCTGTCTTTGAGCCACAGCACCGATTTCTTCAGGTCCCTTTCGGATACACCGTTCAGCTTGTAAATGGTCTTGCTCTTGGTCTCCAGGATGATTTTGGTATCTCGATTGATGTAAGTTATCTCCTTCACTTTTATTTTGAGGGCTATAAAGATAAGAGAGGGCAGAAGGAATCACACCAGTTATAACAGGGGTTGTTATGTGCCGCTGAGTCAGACCCAACTCATAGCGACCCCCGCTTGGATTTCCGAGGCGGTATCACTACAGAAGTAGATTACCCAACCTTCCTTCCGAGGACTGGCTGGTGGGTTTGAACCACCAGCCTTCTGGTTAGCAGTCAAGTGCCTTAGGCACTACACTACCAGAGCTCCTTATAATAGGGGAGTACGCTTTAAATAGGCGCCATGGTGGTGCAACGGATAAGCGCTGGGCTACTAACCGAAAAGTGGGCGGTTTGAACCCACCCAGCGGTGGGAGGAAGACCTGGCAATCAACACCTGTAAAGATTACAATAGAGAAAACCCTATGGGGCAGTTTTACTCTGTCACCTAGGGTCACTATGAGTTGAAATGGACTCCAAACACCTAACAACAATAAATTGGGAGCTTTCCTCACCCCACTCTACTCCGTATTTGTGGGACTTGGTCTGGGGGATGGAAGACAAGCTATGAAACTGTCAGAGGCTGCAGGTAGGGGGTTGGGGGTTGGGGAGAGCAGGTGGCTCCATTTCTAAAGCCTCAAAGAGTTTGTCAGGCACTTTGTTTCCAATCAGCCATCCTTTAAAAACGCTTTCTCTTTGCAGGACTCAATTAACTTTTCTTCTTGTTTCCTTGCCCTTGTGTTTTTACATAGCTTGCATGTGGTTCCTGCTCTCCCCAACAAATGACTTCCCCTATTGGAAACTTCAGCATGAAAAGAAATGCCTGACTCTTAGGTGAAACGTGATCCTTCTGTGGCCGTAAACTTTAAACTCAATTTATTACGTAGGAGAGGTTTTTGGACAAACCTGTAAGGAAATTGTATTACACAATCATTGTTTTCTAAAGAACAGATTACAGGGAAGGAGAATTGATCTTACAGCTGCATTTGATTTGGTAAAGTAACTAGAAGAAAAAAAAAAAATATGCAAGACTTTTTTTTTTTTTAAGAGCATGACTTGTTTAGCTGTAAAAGTGTTTTTCTGAATACTTCATCCTCGTGTGTTATCATGTGCCTGTCCAAAGCCAAAGCGTTTACAGATATATATGTACTATTTCCAAAATGTATATGTAAACTCATTAGAATGCTACGACCAAAAGTAAGTGGTTTAATATAAAAGACACATTTTATAGTCATAAACAGTATTCTTTGAGAAAGAAAACCCTACAAACATGGATGGTGGAATTAAATTTCAAGACTCCACAAAGGCAGGGAAAGGATCAAATTTTAAGGTTGGAAAGGATCATCCAGTTGCAATCTCTTATTAATACATGAAGAATCTTAAATACAAAGATGTTTAGTGATTTACAAGGAGGCTTGGTGGAGCAGTGGTTGAGTGCTTGCCTGCTAACTGAAAGGTCAGCAGTTCGAATCCCACAGCCACTCCATGGAAGAAAGATGTGGCAGTCTGCTTCTGTAAAGATTATAGCCTTGGAAACCCTATGGGGCAGTTCTTCGCTGTCTTATGTGGTCACTGTGAGTTGGAATTGACTAGATGGCAACAGGAGATAAAGAAAATCTGAAAGGAGTTATATACAAACACCCAAAACTCTACTAATGTAAACAACACATTACTTGCTGTCAAGTGGATTTCAAGTTGGTTAAACAAGGGAATGTCACTGCACATATCTCTTCCAGTCAGCCAGGAAATGAGATAAGCTCAACCAGGTATGTCAGAGATGCTGTGAGTTGGCCAAGCATGGTTTTGCCTGATAGGCATTTGAACTGTAGTACTGAGTTCTCACTACAGAAGTAGATTGCCCAACCTTCCTTCCGAGGAGTGGCTGGGGGGTTTGAACCGCCAGCCTTCTGGTTAGCAGTCAAATGCCTTAGGCACTATGCCACCAGAGCTCCCACTGAGTTCTCAGGGCTTATGAAACTTAAGCCATGGAAAAACAGTGTGGAAATGTCACATGTTCCTGTGGTCTCTATGTAGGATGTAGGAGCTAGAAGACATATGACAGGAGAAGCAAACTTATTATCCATTACCTCTGTGTCTTGTTTCTAGCACAGATTGAACATGTGCGAAATTTCACCTGTTCAAATGAAACATTCTTGACCTCTCAATATCAGAAGAACCATCACTTTTAACCCAAAGGAAGATTTATTCCTCATTATTCTCTAATTCTAAACTAACCACCTTTGCAAAAGTTTACCATAGGAAAACACCAAGGATTTCTTCCCTGGATTTTCAGCTGGACCTACCTATAGGGAATCAAAATCCAAATCTTCTCCTGCCCTGAAATGGGGATGCAGGATGTAGGAGACAGAGGTGATGATACTGTCTGGTCACATAAGGGGGTATATACACTAGAAGTCAGTTCTGATACACTGCCATACTTTCACCATTGAAAAGAGGAGTCATTCTTCATTTTCCCTGTACTTCAGGAGTGGGGCAGGGTGTGATGTTTTCATGGATAATTCAAATGAAATAAGTTAGATTTCTACATTTGTCCCTTCTGCCCTTCCATTACTAAGAATACAGGTAATATATAAAACGGGAGTAAATGACGCATTTCATGAGTATGGGGAAATAGAAAACAAAACTTGTGAGGTATCTGCAATGTAATGACCTCTATGTTTTTGTGAAAGACTTTCTGTCTCTAAGGAGATAGAACATGAGGGGACACTCACATACATAACCAGTTTTTGGCCCAGGTCCTGATGGGGCATCCTTAGAAAGGAGGTCTTCTGTAAAGCAAAGAATGTGTGTGTGTCCTCTAAATACTATTGCTTCAGAGCCCTACAATATAACTAACTTTTCCATGGAAGTCAGGAGAGATATTTGTATTAAAACTAGCACGAAGACCATAAGCTGCCAGCAAAAAATGATAGTTGATACGAAATTTTATATAAATTTTATTAAAATCGTATCTTTCTATCTCATCCTTAAGCAAGTCTTGTAGCATGGAAGCTGAGACTGATGTTTTGGTAAGGCTCTGGTGATTTGGGAGCACCTCCTGATGACACGCTTCACCCTCAACTAATTTGAGAGTTGTTCATGTTTGAACAGAGACGTGAGAAACCCTGTTATCCTCATTGGTGGCTCTTCCTGAGGGAAATGTAGTGATGACTTAGAGCTGCCTCCTCTTTCTTTCCCCTTTCCTCAGCAGTGTGAAGCTGTTTCCTAAATCTGTGACTATGGCTGTTCTGGACCAGTCAACAAGGTTGAATTCGGAACATTTCCTGGAAGATACCAAGGCCATAAGGCATCAGTAGCAGTGGGAAAGTAAGGAGAAAATAGGTGGACATTCCTCAACAGTGGAGGCTGGAGGGATTTCCCTCAGTCTCAAGGACTTTAGTATATAGAAATACAACATGAGCCTCTTAGAATCCATTATCATTTGACAGAGCATGGACCATATCTGTTTACTAATAAGTTCAACCTTTTGCCTTTTAAAGATGTACCACAAAGTACCTGTCCTTGGAATGGAATTAAAGCAAAAAGCATGACTCATAGGAGTCTGGGTAAAGTTCTTGGCCACTCCAAAATTCTGTATTTAGCAGATAAGGCGCTGGTGGAGTGCTGTGGAGACAAAAGCTCCAATTATCCTTTTTACTAATATGCTTTCAAGTGTAGTGATATACACTTTATGGAGCTTAAGTAACGTATCACACACATTATTTATTGTCCCCAGGTGCCACACCATCACAGCATCTTCCATGTATCTTGTTAAAGTAAATTCTTTCTTTCTTTTGTTTTTTTAACTATTTATAAAAGTATAGCTAGTATTTATGGGTTTATTCATAAAAAAACTTTATGAAAAATTTCTTTTAAAAATGATTATATGATGGTGTTTCAAGCTGATGGTAAGTATCTTCTCAATAAACCAATTTTTTTTTTTTAAATAAATTTAAGAAAACATGTCCAAACTATTAGCTGGCATCTTGGATATATTCACTAAAGATGGAACATAGAGATGCAGATAATTATGGGTTATAAATAATTTTAAAATATTTCTATTATTTCCAGAGTAAATTTTTATTTGTGGTCAACTGGGGCTAATATTTTATGTGTTCTCATCCCTGATGCACATGCCAAGTGACTAAGGAGAATACAGCCCAAGATTTTGAGATTCAAAATGTGCCACTGAAAATTCTTAATTTGAATGATTCTCATTATTTGATGAGTTAACAGAACAAGGAATCTCACCTAAAGGTACAACTGAAAACACAATAGGGAAGAAACTAAGAGCAGATTAGATGGCTTTAGGAAAATAAGCAGTGATTGTATTTCACCTAACCTCTACTAATATTTTAATGATTTGTAGTTTTACTGACATAACTTTTGAATATGAAATCTTTAGGTGGTGGTGCTGTATTACTTACCAAAATCATTTTTACAAAGAGTTTCCATTATGTCGTTGTCATCATCATTTTTATTTTTGCAGGCTTCACACACCTTAGGAGCTGGAAATGTGAAAAACAGACTTTAGTTAAGTTTGCATGAAAGGAAACAGCAGGTGGTGTTTGTAAACAATCCAAGGACCTTATCCAGGCAAGAGTAGCAACTGTCCTATTTGACTGTAGCTTCTGCCTCATCTACACAAGTAAGATCACTCATTCCTCAGAAAGTCTCCCATGCCTTTCATTTTCAGTTGTGTTGTGTTTAATAAACAGTGCATTCCAAATAAAAAGGGAGTTGTGGATGGAGTATCCGGGTGTGTGTACCCACTGCCATCGAGCTGGATCCGACCCATAGCGACCCCTCCTTGGGTTTCCGAGGCAGTATCACTACAGAAGTAGATTGCCCAACCCTCCTTCTGAGGAATAGCTAGTGGGTTTGAACTGCCAGCCTTCTGGTTAGCAGTCAAATGCCTTAGGCACTACGTGTGTAGCTATAGGTGATTGGGACAGGTTGCAGCACTTCATGTCTTCCTCCCAATCCATGGGACAAGTGGAGTCTCTGAAGAAGTTATTTCTATGGCTTCTCCAAGGAGAAACCACAAAAAGAGCCTTGAGGAATTTCAGAAAACTGGTAACCATACAATATGGCTGAAAGATTGTCTCCCTCTCATCTACAAGACACCAGTGAAGTTCAGCCTCTGCTGAAGAGTTGTGTCTCTGGGGAGTCATTTCAAGATATTGTCAAGCCTGGACTGGGAGGGGTATGTAGTATTGTTAAGGATCACATGTGGGCTTTTTCTATCTTGGAAACACACTGCACTAATTACAACTCTGTTCTGAAGGGTCTCTATCACCTTGTACTCTCTGCCAAGTTTGTGCTTGGGTCAAGCTGCGTTGGTTTCATTGGGATCTAGAGCTCCCTGTTACAGGTTCTTCTTGCCCTTCTTTGCCTGTTTCAAACTCTTAAAAAACAAAACACTAAAACTCTTCCTGAAGCTAAGCAAAAAAGAAGCAAAACTGTCTGTGGGATCTGACCCAAAACAGGAATTGTGCACTACTAACACAGTTATCAGAAAAGGCTTCTTAAAAAGGCTGATTTCTTGGGGAGAGTTAGGGAAGAAGAAAACATCTCCACCTTCTCCCATTTATATATGTGTTAATACTGTCTTTTAAATGTAGGTGAAATTAGATTTTCATTGATATGAAATTAAATTTTCACAGAAAATTCTGTGACTAATAGAAGTTATTTATCAAGTTAGACAAATCACAAAGAGCAAATTCTGAAGAACACAAACTCTTATTTTGAAGTGGGAGAAGTATTTTGAGAGAAATGTACAGTGTATGTTATTGCCTATAGTGAAAAGGAAAAAGCAATGCATAGTGGAAAGAAACAAAAACAAAAGCAACACACAGGCAGAGTTGCCTTTAGAAATAGCATTTCCATTAGGAGCTAGGAATGTATATAAAATGTTACTAACCTGCAATGCTTGGTGGTTGGTATATGTTGGACAAATGTTTGAAAAATGCCAAACATTTGCAATAAATTAGAAATCTAACCAATAAGATGTTTGTAAAGGCACAGTGCTTGCCAGGAAAGATTGCTAAGCAACTTTGCATTTTCTTTTACTAATGATGGCTGTAGGAAAACAATTAGAGATTGAAAGGAAGATGCTGTTGAACGCCTTGAAAGGGATTAGGAAGCCCCCTTTCCATCCCAGGGGGACCTAAATCAGCTCAGATGTATTGTATACGGTTTCCTTTCAGGAAGAATATCAAGAGCCCATGAGGTTTTCATTGCTTTGATGGTTTTTTGCACAGGAACTCTCTGTTTTCTAAAAACTAGGGAAATTCTCTTTTGCATGATTTTCTCCAGTTAAGTAAAACCCCTCCTAAAATAAAAGCTGGCAGCAATAGAAAGATGATTCCTGGAGATTCCTGTGGGCCCTGTTGACATATTTCTTCCTCAAACACCTAAACTGTTACTCAACACACCCCCTTCTAGATTTCTCCTCTAGTCAGTCCTCGTTTTAATTCTACAACCTAAACTGGCAAAGGACAGAAAGTATCTTAAAAGATCATCTGCTTGTGCACCTTGGTTATCCTGCCTGTACAGAAATGTTCCTGTGACTAGAATCCGCTGGTAAGGATATGCCGAAAACAGGCTGAACGAGGAGCCTCTGGCCAGGGTACTCACCAACTCCTCCATGCATGATCGCTTCCAACACTAAGAAGAGTGGCTCCGGCGCTAACATCTTTTTTTTTTTTTTTTTTTTAATGTGCATCTATAAAGACGAGACGCATTTCAGTTTTTTGTGTTTTAACTATACTTAACAAAGAGCAACTGGTGTAACTTGGAAAGGGAATGAGAGGTTTGGGGTAAGGGGTCTCAGATTTGGTAGAAGCTTGTAGCGATGACAGACCAGGGCAAGGGAACGGTCTGATCCGCCCTAGACTGGCACCCTCGGAAGGGATGCCCCGCAATGGGGGTGGAGGGAAACGCTGGGGAGGTGGGAATCCCCCAGGAGCTCCTCGGCGGTGCTAGGGAGGGGTGAGAGCTTAAAAGGGGAAGCTTACCTTCCTCGGTGGCCGGCAGGAGGTGATCGCTGCTGGCGAGGGGGATGCAGAGGTCGTTGTCCTGGGGGAAGCGGTCGCACTCTAGCATGTCAGGCCAAGGGAAGCCGAAGGCGGACATGACTGGGGCGCAGCGGTCCTTCACCTGCACACAGAGCGAGTGGCACGGCTGGATGGTCTCGTCCAAGTCGTCGAGACAGACGGGCGCGAAAAGCGAGCAAAGGAACTTCTTGGTGTCTGGGTGGCACTGCTTCATAACCAGAGGGATCCAGGCGCCCGCCTGCTCCAGCACCTCCTTCATGGTCTCGTGGCCCAGCAGATTGGGCAGCCGCATGTTCTGGTATTCGATGCCGTGGCACAGCTGCAGGTTGGCCGGGATGGGCTTGCAGTTGCTGCGTTTGTAGGAGAAATCAGGCTGGCCAAAGAGGAAGAGCCCCCTCGCCGAGCCCAGGCAGCAATGCGAGGCGAGGACCAGCAGCAGCAGCGACCCGGGGCCCTGCGGCATTGTGGGCGCGCGACCCCCGGGGGGCGGCGGGCCGGAGCGGGGAAACGCGAGGCGGCTGGAGCTCGAGCTCGTCCCGGGCCCGCTCGCTCCGCTCGGAGCGGCTAGAAGATCTGGAAGGCAGTAACAGGAGCGCGAGGGAGCCGAGCGCGAGGAGCACGGCGCAAGCGAAGCGCTCTCCGCTTGGCTTTGCGCTGCAACTCGGCACGCAGCTCTTGGGGGCTCCGACCCGGGGGACTAGAGTGAGCCTTGGTTGGGGCACAGCCAGAGTTTTCTTGGCCTTTTTTTATGCAAATCTAGAGGTGGGGGATGGAAGGGAGGAGCCAGTGGAGAGTAATCCGAGGAGGCTTGGTCACTACTTTTTTGGTCTGGTTTTCCGTTGAAAATACTCCTCAAGCGCTCCATGGAAGGAAATTCTGGCCGCGCCCCCACCGCAGATGCCGCCGCGTGCTTTTTCAGATTGCTTTAAACAACAAACAAGCCCGGCCATCGCGCTCCCACAGAGTGTGCGGGACGCAGGCTGCGGGTTTTGCTGCGAGCTGCCTAAAAAATGCCAGTCCCCGTGGCAATCTACCCCGCCCCCAATGGGGCCCGGGCTGAGGTTTGTTTGGCCCAAAGTGGAAGTTTGAGCTCTTGTCCTGGGGCTGCAGGACGGAACTCTGTCCCGGGAGGCAGCGACTCTGGGCTCTTTGAACTCTCTGCTCCTTCGAGCCTCCTTTTACCCTGAATCTCTAGCTACAGTTCAACATCCAGGTTCCCTGGCCTAGGCGGTGTGCTCGCTCCTGCCCTTTTTAAACTCAGAATTATAAAGAGTCGCACGCGCAAATCTGTTACACAGCAAATGAAATAACAATACAACGTTTGAGTTGTTATTTTGTTGGGAAGAGGATACAGATTTTGCACTTGTGGAAACGCCTTTAACAAGGTCTCATCAGAATCACATACGGCTGCCCACCATCCCCCTGTTTTGGAGAACAGACTTTTCCTCAAACAGATGGAATCCATACGAGGGAATCACGGACCCTAACACACACTGGTTCTTGCGGCAGGGCGCTCAGGAGAACCCAAGTGTGGGCCCCAGAGGAGATGTGGCCTGGAAGGCTGGTGCTCTGACGAAAGGACTGGCAGAAAATGCGGCAGGTGGGCAGGCTGGGAAAGGGCAGGGGTCCCTCTTGTGGGGCAGAGGAAGGATCACTGCCTAGAAATCCACTGGGCTAGTCCTGGTCCTGGCAGAATTGGTTCATCATCCTGTAAGTATCAACAGGCACCGTGTGGGGAACCAGGTATGCGTAAAGAACAGGCTCGGGCTCTACTTTCGTGGAGTTAAGGATCTGGTCCCTTTGACTACTGCAAACAGTAAGCTCACAGGCTCACTGGGACTAGGGTGCCAAGACAGAGAAGGGGTGTGTGCGGGTGGGGTGCTCCTTATCCTTAATTGCTTCCAAGTCTCTCCTTTATTCAGGCGTTTTCTGTCCCCTTTAGCCACTCACACAGGAGTAGTGGTGCAGATCCAAAGAGATAATCCCAGTGACAAGAGTCTATGGTATGTAAGGTGGGTGCCTTGTTACTCCTTCCCTGCCACTTGAGGCATCTACTGGCTCAGTCCACCAGTTTCCTGTTTTTTTTTCTCCTTCTGGAAGATGCAAGGGCCTTGGCCTAGTATCAGATCACCCTGCTCAGTTTGTAAGCCTGCTGTTTTTGCTGTAGGTCGAGTTCTGAAATAATGACTAGTAAGTCACCTGTTGTTGTTGTTGTTGTTATGTGCCGTCGAGTCAAACCCGACTCATAGCGACCCCTCCTTGGGTTTCCGAGGCAGTATCACTACGGAAGTAGGATTGCCCAACCTTCCTTGCGAGGAGTGGCTGGTGGGTTTGAACCGCCAGCCGTCTGGTTAGAAGGTAAGGGTCTTAGCCACTATGCTACCAGAGCTCCCAAGTCACCTGTAGCTAAGAGAAATTTAATAAGAAGATAGTAACCTTGCAAGGTGGAGACACACAGGGCCAGAGGCAATGCCACGTGTGTTTTCCCAAGCCCTATGGGCTTAAAAAAAAAAACAAACTCACTGCCATTGAGTCAATCCTGACTCATAGTTTCCCCTCCTTGGGTTTCTGAGGTCGTATCTCTATGGAAGTAGATTGCCCAGTCTTCCTTTCAAGCAGTGGCTAGTGGGTTTGAACCTCTAGCCTTCTGGTTAGCAGTCAGATGCCTCAGGCACTATGCCACCAGAGCTCCCACGCTAGGGGTTTTTATGATAGTTTTAGTGGGGTATGTGATTTTAAAAGACCTTGTGCAGGTAGGTTACTCATCAAATCCTGACCCTTTTGTGAAATTCAGGAAGCAGAACAAGGCTGTGATAAATTCCTCGCGATAAACCTCTACTTCCTTCAGACTAGATGCATGCGCAATCTCTTTCTAAGATGGAATCTGTGTGTTTCAACATGGACACCACGGCTGCTTCTGTGCAGGTGTATCCTGCTGTTCATTCTTGGTTCAAATCTTCATTTCATCATAGATTGGCTGTCTTAGTTCATCAGACTGTAAAGGGGGGCAAAGGGTGTGCGGGCTCCAAAACTGGTTAACACCGAGTGAGTAGTGGGCCAGAAGACATCTCAAAAATGGCTTGTTATGAGGAAGTGCCATCTAAGTAGTAAATTTACATTTGTGTTATTTCTCTTTCAGTGTCTCTTCTTTGGCCTCAGGATCTGAGGAATGTGGTTGCCCTGACTTGTGAGCTGTTCCTGTCTTGGTTTTATGATCTTAAGAATGTGGTTGCAGGGGCAGAATTCTTATGTGATTATGGCTACGGGTAGAATAAGGCACTGTTTAAACTGAACAAGATTAATATGGAGCTTTAGGTTATGAAGTTAGAACACATATTCATCTCCCAGAAATTCTTGTCTGTCTGAAAAATAAACAAATAAACTCATTGCCATGGGTCAATTCCAACTCTTAGCAACCCCCACTGGGTTTCCAAGGTGGTAAATCTTTACAGAAGTAGATTGCCCAGTCTTCCTTCCATGGAGTGCCTGGAGGGTTTGAACTGCCAATCTTTTGGTTAGCAGTCAAATGCCTTAGGCATTATGCCACCTATACTGTTACACTTCCCCATCAAGGGGACTTTAGGCCAAAATTCTTTTTTGGAAACAGGGCTGAAGATCTCAGGTCTTCTGTAACTACTTCCTGCTGAATTGGGATGAAGGCCTACTTATACTGTATTAGCCCAGAACCCCTCTATTCTAAATATCTGGGAGATATGTGAATGAGGAACAATTTAAAGGTGAGAATAAAATGCCTTTTTGGCCTGCATCAAAGTAAGGGGAGTAGTTAAAGGCATAACAATGTATATTCCTATAGAGTGAAGGCTTCATGTGACCCCACACACGATGTTAAAAAACTTGATAAGGCAGGGTAGAAAAATGCAAATCCAATATTATAACAATGTTGTTGTTATGTGCCGTCGAGTCGGACCCAAATCATAGTGACCCCTCCTTGGGTTTCCAAGAGTATCACTACGGAAGTAGATTGCCCCATCTTCCTTCTGAGGAGTGGCTGGTGGGTTTGAACCACCAGCCTTCTGGTTAGAAGTCAAGTGCCTTAGGCACTATGCTACCAGAGCTCCCATTTTATAACAATAGTTGTGAGCAAAAGTAGAAGTCAGGATTTCTTTTTACATCCAAAACAGTGGTGCAAGTGGTATTCACTGGAATTTGCATCAATAATGTATAAGGGTTAGGAACTACAGGATATACAGGACAGTTACCTCATTACTGCTCTTAAATCCTGTAAAAATTGATAAGAGCCATCATATTTTAGTATAAGGAGGACTGGGGTGTTACATTGGTACTGGCAATGTTTAATAAGGCTGTGCTTTAGTAATTAGGGATTTTATCCTTGAAGGGCTTCTGGTTACTAGGGGTATTGCTCTTATGTGGATAAGATGCTCCAGGGTACAAATCAAGTTCTTCAGATTTTCTATCATTGCCCTACCTGGTTTTGAAACATCCCAAACCTCAGCTAGCACTCTAGGAAGTTCTGTAATTTGTTGCTCTGTTTCCTTGATTTCTGTTAGCAAGCAAAGCAAGTGATCTGGTATATGGCCTATTTCCTCTTGCACAGATTCTCCTAAAACGATTTCAGTTCCCAACTTACACAGGAAGTCTCGGCCCAACAAAGGGGTTGGGCATTTAGCCATATAGACAAAAGAATGATATATTACTCTATTTTGAATTCTGCAAAGCAAAGGATGAGTCAAAAATTTAGTTTGGGGGTTTCCATCAACTCCCATAATCTGCCATTCCCATTTTAAGAGTGCTCCAGGGAGTTCAGGCAAGACAGAGAAAGCCACCCCAGTGTCCAACATAAATAGGATAGTCTTATCTCCCATATTGATGGCAACCTGAGGCTCAGCCATGGTGATGACAATCCTTCAGTGTTTAGCTGGGGCGGGGCAAGCCTCTGGGCGTCCTCAGTACAGAGGGGGCTCTGTTAGATCCCTTGCAGTGGCCAGTAGTGGTCGAGTAGGCAGTCAGGGGTCAATGTTGCGCCCTGTTGTAGGACACTCTGGACACTCACTGTGCCAGTGACTTCTTTTCTTGCATATGCTGCGTTGATCAGGCTGAAGTCTGGCTGCCAGTCATTGGTGATGTAAGTTTTCTCTTCTTTGTCCTGTTCCAAAAGGGTTACCTTGAGGTGGACCTTCAACTGGCCAATCAAAAGTGGCAGCCAATGACTGGGTCTGCTTCTCAGCAGTTAATTAGGCTTGGTTCTCCATCTTCCTGTTCTCCTTTTCCTCCTCTACCTGTTCTCTATTAGCAAAAACTTTGTTAGCTTTCTCAAATTAGGGCCCAGTTCTCCCTTTCTTAGATTTCTGTAATATCATAACTAGACTGTGTCACAAAGTACATGGCAAGTAAGTTTTTCCCTGCTACTGATTCTGGGTCTATATTGGTATATTTTCTTAAAGTTTCATTTAACCTGCTAAGGAAGGCTGCTGAGTTTTCATCCTTTCCCTGTTTTTTTTTTTACTTTATCATGATTTATGGGTTTGGATATACATCAGCATGCCCCTTTAGGAATGCACCTCACCAAACACTTTCTCCTTTCAGATTCTATTAAAAACAAACAAATAAACAAAACCACACCAAACTAATTGCCATTGAGTTGATTACAACTCACAGTGACTCCCATTGGGTTTCTGAGACTGTAAATCTTTACAGAAGGAAAGCCTTCCACAAAGCGGCTGGTGGGTT